CTACTACTACTACTACTACTACTACTACTACTACTACTAACTACACTACTACTACTACTACTACTACTACTACTACTATACTACTACTACTACTACTACTACTACTACTACTACTACTACTACTACTACTACTACTACCCGATAGAGGCAACAGCACCTCCTCCTTCTCTTCCTACTGTTCCTCCTCCCCCACATCCTCCCCATCCTCCACCTCTTCCTCTGTCTTCTCTTCATCATTTTCCTCCTACTTGTACTCCTCCTCCTCACGACAAGAAAATCACCCTGTGACGTACCCAACCCATGTGCATCAAATGACAGCATGAATTGCCCTCACATTGCCAAGACAGTGGCAGTCAGGCGCCGATATATGTTGCGCTAGCTCCATGGGATGGGCTCACGTGGCACGATTCACAGAACAACAACAGAAAGACTAAGAGCGAAGGCTCAAGCTTGAGGAGGACATGGGGGCGGGAACGAAGGGCAGGAAAAGGACGCGCGGGTGGCCGACCCGTCAGCGCGGCAGCAGCAGAGGGAAGGTTGCCGGGGGCAGAAGACGACGACGAAACTGATGGGAGGAGACCGAAGAGTGTTGCATGTGCCGGTAGTACACTAAAGATGCACTACTGCCTGCGCCATGTCGCCGCGGCGCTCGACAAAATGATTCAACCAGCGTGTACATGTGCAGGACGCGAGCGAGGCCTAGCTCGCCCGCCAGTTTCCCTGCTTCCTTCCTGCTCTTTCAGCGCGGGAACTAAATGCTTGAAGGCGCGCCGCCAAGTCTGCGGGCGGCCCGCGACAGCGCCCCGCTGGACCCACCACCAGCCCTCGAAAGCGGCGACAATTTCGCAGATCGCAGCCCCACAGGCACGGCAAGGTCCAGTCTGAGTCTGCGTGGGACGTCACTCCGCTTGACCCCCCAGCAGCCCTCGAAAGCGGCGGCAGTTTTGCAGATCTCCGCCGTCCAGGGATGGCGAGGTCTAATCAGAGTCTGCGTGGGACGTCACTTCGCTGGGCCCCCCAGCCGCCCTCGGGGGTGGCGACAGTTTCGCAGATTGCAGCCCCCCAGGGATGGCCAGGTAGGAGGCAAGCTGGCACGCAGGAAGGAGCGAGGTGAGAGGCAGGAGAAAAGGGGAGAGGGGGCGGGGAGGAAGGAAGGCGGGAGGTGTGCGACCGCAGTGCTCTGTTCAAAACGAGAACCCAACGCAGGATGATTGGGAAAAAGGAACGATGTAAGAGGCAGGCAGTTAAGATGAGAGGAGGATGGAAAAGAGGAGGAGGGAAGGCGGAAGAAGGACGGAGCAAGCATTGCTCTATTCAAAACGAGAACCCAACGCAGGAGGGTTGGGAACAATACCTCCTCTTCCTCCTCCCCCCCTCCTCCTCCTCCTCTCCTCCTCCCACCTCCTCCTCCTCCTCCTCCCTCCTCCTCCTCCTCCTCCTCCTCCTCCTCCTCCTCCTCCCAAGAACATGAGACCCTCCGTCGACCAAATCACACAACATCCAAGGGCTCCCTCCTCAGGATGCACAAGAGCATCCAACAAGCATGAAAAACACAAGGATACCCTCCCCGAGCCGACCCCGATCTTATTTATACCCCAGGCCGACTGTACCCCAGGAACCTCAGGATCGGCTGAATGTTTTTTGGTTTTCTGAGACCTTGGCGTTCTCGCCGCACCAGTCGCAAGGGCGTCCAGGACGGCCCGAAAGCCTCCCACGATCAGCCAAAGATGGCGCACGAGGCCCCCAAGTGGGGCACCAAGAGCGCGCCACTATCGCAACGCTGGAAACCAATCCTTCCAACACGATTTCAAGACCCCCACGAGGCCCAGCCCCGAGAGGCCCCAGGACGCGCCCATGTGGGCCTCAGAGTCCCCTGGGAGTCCCTCAAGAAGCCCATCAAAATCTCCCCCACATGGAGGATTCCGGAAACCCTGAACCCAAAAACGTCTTCTTCTCTTAAGGGCGCATCTTTTACTTCCGCCGCCTTCCGCCAGCCTTCCGCCGGCTTCCGCCAGTGGAAGCGGCCTCGTTTCACTTCCGCCGACCTTGCTCCGCCCTTCCGCCGCCTTCCGCCGAGGAAGAGATGGCATGGCAACCCCTTCGATCCTCGAAGGCAAGGCCCTTTCTGGAAAGGTCCAAATGTTCCCGAGGCCTCCGAAACACGATCCAGGCGCAGTGGCCGGAGGAGCCGAAACATGATGGACCCACGAACCCGGAAAGGGATATAGACATGTGCAGCATGGTCACGTTTTCACGATATCCAACTGGGCGACACCTCACGAAACATCCCACGAGACACCCCGCGAAACATCCCAGGAGACACCTCACGAAACAACCCACGAGACACCTCACGAAACATTCCACGAGACACCCCGTGAAACATTCCACGAGACACCCCACGAACAGGCAACCACTCAACCAGACACCCCACGAAACATTCCACGGGGGTGCGACTGGGTGTGGTCGTGCTGGGGTGTGGTCGTGCTGGAGTATGGTCGTGTTGGGGTGTGGTCGTGCTGGGGTGTGGTCGTGCTGGGCGGGTGGTCGTGCGTGGGGGTGTGGTCGTGCGTGTCGTGTGGGGGGTGGTCGTGCTGGGGGGGTGGTCGTGCTGGGGGTGTGGTCGTGCTGGGGCGTGGTCGTGCTGGGGCGTGGTCGTGCTGGGGCGTGGTCGTGCTGGGGTGTGGTCGTGCTGTGGTGAGGTCGTGCTGGGGTGTGGTCGTGCTGGGGTGTGGTCTTGCTGGGGTAGGGTCGTGCTGGGGTCGGGTCGTGCTGGGGTGTGGTCGTGCTTGGGTATGGTCGTGCTGGGGTGGGGTCGTGCTGGGGTGGGGTCGTGCTGGGGTCTGGTCGTGCTGGGGTGTGGGTCTGTGGTCGTGCTTGGGGTGTGGTCGTGCTAGGTGCTGGGGTGGTCGTGCTCGTGGGTCGTGGGTGCTCGTGTGGCGTGTGGGTGCGGGGTCGTGCTGGGGTGGGGTCGTGCTGGGGTGTGGTCGTGCTGGGGTGGTTCCAACCTGTGATTTATCGACTGTGGTCGTGCTGGGGTGTGGTCGTGCTGGGGGGTGGTCGTGCTGGGGCGTGGTCGTGCTGGGGCGTGGTCGTGCTGGGGCGTGGTCGTGCTGGGGTGTGGTCGTGCTGTGGTGAGGTCGTGCTGGGGTGTGGTCGTGCTGGGGCGTGGTCTTGCTGGGGTGGTCGTGCTGGGGCGGGTCGTGCTGGGGCGTGGTCGTGCTGGGGTGGGGTCGTGCTGGGGTGGGGTCGTGCTGGGGTGTGGTCGTGCTGGGGTGGTCCGCACCCTGTGATTCATCGATCGGGTCGTGCTGGGGTGTGGTCGTGGTGGGGTGTGATCGTGGTGGGGTGTGGTCGTGCTGGGGTGTGGTCGTGCTGGGGTGTGGTCGTGCTGGGGAGTGGTCGTGCTGGGGTGTGGTCGTGCTGGGGTGTGGTCGTGCTGGGGGGTGGTCGTGCTGGGGGGTGGCTCGGGGGGGTGGTCGTGCTGGGGGGTGGTCGTGCTGGGGGGGTGTCGTCGTGCGGGTGGGGCGTGGTAGTGCTGGGAGGGGGTGGGGTGTGTCGTGCTGTGGTGAGGTCGTGCTGGGGTGTGGTCGTGCTGGGGTGTGGTCTTGCTGGGGTAGGGTCGTGCTGGGGTCGGGTCGTGCTGGGGTGTGGTCGTGCTGGGGTATGGTCGTGCTGGGGTGGGGTCGTGCTGGGGTGGGGTCGTGCTGGGGTCTGGTCGTGCTGGGTGTGGTCGTGCTGGGGTATGGTCGTGCTAGGGTGGGGTGCATTTCGCTCGAGACATCCTGCCAAAATTCCAGGAAATCGTACAAAAACAAACGAATTAGTCGAGACATCATCGAAATTCCTTCGCGCGGGGCGCTTTTCCGCGTCGCGGTCGGCTCTGCAAAACAAGCGTTTCGCTCGAGACATCCTCGGCAAACTCTGCGGAGCAAGCGTTTCGCTCGAGACATCCTCAACACACGAAAAAGTGGCCCGCACCCTGTGATTTATCGATCGGGATTTCAAAAACAAGCGTTTCGCTCGAGACATCCTCAAATTTTAATTCGCCGGCCTCCTTCGACCTCGTTATTTATCAGGGAAAAAATTCGCCGGCCTCCCTCAAGCAGGCACCGGGGGATTAGGTTTACCAACTAAAAGAGAACCCTGGGCCCACGCCCTTTCCGGGAAAAACACCAGATGCTCGCACTGGCAGCAGTGCCGCCACGGCCCCTTCGAGGATCTGCCGACATAGGTCAATGCAAACGCGGGTCAGTCAGGCCTTGCAGGATCCTGCCAGATCCTGCAGGATCCTGCAGGATCCTGCGCGCAAGCCCAGGTGAAGGCACCCCTGGCTCTGAAGGGTTCTGCAAGATCCTGCGCTCTGACCCCGTTTGCATTGACCCTCATCTCTTGAGCCTCGACCCCCCTGGTCCCTGTCCCCATTCCGCCTCCGGCGCCCAGGCTGTGCACTTCTCAGGGTCGCCGGAACCGACAGCAAGGCCGATGCATTACAGTCGAACCTAGGACAGAAGAACATGCTTCAAGAACATGAGACCCTCCGCCGGCCCAAACTGAAGAACAACAATTGAGGGTACCCTCCCCCAGGATGCACAAGAACATCCAACAAACCCGAAGAACATTAGGGTACCCTCCCCGAACCGACCTCGATCTTACACCTTGGTCCGGCTGTCATGCCGCCACTGCCCCTGGTCCTTGTCCCCATTCCGCCTCTGGCGCCCAGACTGTGCACTCCTCAGGGTCGGCGGAACCGACCGCAAGGCCGATGCGTCATATGAGGGCGCATGGTCTACTAATCATGTTCGACATCAATCATATAGGCATGCAGTCTCTAGCGACAAGGACCTTCAAGCCACGTTCCTATCAACAAGGCATCCGAACAACACGTCATCCTCACCACACAGATGTATTCCCGATGGGCGTATTTGACATAACAAGCAGGAAAACAGCCATGCCAAGGCACACATGCTTGTGCTGATGATGACGGTAGATGCATGATGGTCCTGCTTTGGGCGCGTCTTCTTCCACCGCCGCCGCCGCGGCGAGCTCCTCACAGATGCCGAGCTGTCCTGCGACTTGCTCCGCGCCCTGGGCTTGGCGGGGACCTTGGCGGACGCCTTTTCGGCATCCACGTCTGCCTGGGGCCGAGAACCCACGCTGCTCCCACGCTTTGGAGAGGACGAACGGGGAGGAGGGGGGGGGGGGACCGAGCGAGGGGCATGGGAGGGGGAGAGGGGGGAAGAGGCGGCATGGCGGAGGAATGAGAGGGAGGAGGGGAAGGAGGAGGAAGACCAGAGTAAACCTAGGACGCGTCAGCGATGCTGCAGCACACCCTGCCGTCTCAAGTCCCCGCCTTCCAAGTCCCTGCAGACCTCCTCCTTCGGTGCGGCAAGCGCCCCCGTGAAATCGGCAGACCCAGCCAGCGCACGGGCCGCCCTCGAGGCGCCCACGGCCGCCGCCCCCCCCCCCCCCCCCCCTCTGAATGAGCCACGAGCCCAAGCAGGAATTGCTAGTGCACGCACCGTGTGAAACGAACAGCACAAAATCTCACCGGAACACACGGCTCTGCACCGATTGGTCGCGGAACATACCCTTGAACGTCACCTCACACGCCAAGGCCACAAGCGGCCACAGAGCCATGAGCCACCGATTCCACTCTCAAATGCCACCCCACTCGCGCACACGAGTGCCGCAAGGGGCAACGAGCAACCGCGGGCCACGAATCATCGAATCTGCTGCTGACGGCTGCTGCGCACACGAGGGCCGCGAGGGGACCGCAAACCCACGGACCACGGACCACGAGCCGGAGAGTGCACTCCCACAGGCCACCCAGCACTGCGAGGGCGACGGAGCGGCACAGAGCCACGAGCCGCCGAACCCCACTGCGAGAGCCCACCCCGCACGCGAGGGCGACGAGGGACCACAGGGGCACGCGAGGGCCACGTGGGCCAGAGGCCACGAGCCACAGGATCGACCCCCTAAGGGGGGTACCCTTCTCTCCGAGCCGCATGTTCTTTGTTTCTCCTCTTCTTCATGGGGGAGAGTTTGTTTCAGGTTGTGCGAGACGCTTTCTGTTGGGTTGGCGGGCCAGCCAAAAAGAACACGCACAACACGAACGACATCTACAGTCGGACCTGGGCCAGAAGAACACCCCTCAAGAATATGCGACCCTCCGCCGGCCACAACACATAGAACATCCAAGGGCCCCCCCAGGATGCACAAGAAAGTCCAGCAAACACAAAGAACACGAGAATACCCTCTCCGAACCGACCTCGATCTTATACATACCTCGGTCCGACTGTAGCCACCCGTCCTGGGCACGGCGCCGCAGTCGTGCCTGCGGCTCTGGGCCTCCCAAATGGGGTCCGAGCAGGTGGGGCCTCGTCCTCCTCGTCCTCCTCCTCGTGCTCCTCCTCCTCGTCCTCCTCCTCCTCCTCCTCCTCCTCGTCGTCGTCGTCCTCGTCGTCCTCCTCCTCCTCCTCCTCGTCGTCGTCCTCGTCGTCGTCGTCCTCCTCCTCCTCCTCCTGCTCCTCCTCCTCCTCCTCTTCCTCCTCCTTCTCCTCCTCCTCCTCCTCCTGCTGCTCCTCCTCTCCCCTGCTCCTCCTCCTCCTCCTCCTCCTCCTCCTCCTCCTCCTCCCTCCTCCTTTTCCTCCTCCTCCTCCTCCTCCTCCTCCTCCTCTCGTCTTCCTCCTCCTCCTCACGTCTTCCTCCTCATCGTCCTCCTCGGTCCCCTTCTCCTCCTCCTCCTCGTCCTCCTTCTGCTCCTCGAGCAGGAGGACGAGGGGGTGCCTTCGCCTTGAGCTGCAGCCCCGTCCTCGGCCGCTTTGGCGACCCGGCCTCCTCGCGCGCGGCGGCCTTTGACGGCGCGAACGGGTTGAAGCCCCAGTCCCTCGGGGGCGGCTGGCAACGCGTGAGGTCCACTTGGGCGTTTTTTGTCCTCCTCCGCCATCCTCCTCCTGCAATTCCCATCTTACGCATCGCTCCTCCTCGCCCATTCGCTCCTCCTCCTCCTCCTCCTCCTCCTCGTCATCCTCCTCCTCGTCCTCGTCCTCCTCGTCCTGGTTCTGGTCCTCGTCCTCCTCGTCCTCCTCGTCATCCTCCTCCTCTTCCTCCTCCTCCTCCTCCTCCTCCTCCTCCTCCTCCTCCTCCTCCTCCTCCTCCTCCTCCTCCTCCTCCTCCCCCCCCCTGCCAGGTCACTCCTCCTCCCCCGCCGCCGCTGCGGGCGCCATCCTCCTGAGACGGCCCACGCGGTGTTTCGGGACGCCCGCCTCACGCGCCAGCGCTGCTCGATGCCAGACGGGAGCCTGTGGGTGACCTCGTGCTTCGAGACCACGACGGAGCCCCCAGACCCGCCCTTGCAGGATGGCGGGGGCGGGGCGAGAGGGCGAACGGAGGGGGTGCCCCGATGAGGGGTGTGGGGGGTGCGTGTGTGGGGGGGGAGCGCTTCCACCCCCACCCCCGAGACCAAGCATGGGGGGAGGGGAAGGAAGTGGAGGCAGGAGGGAAGGGCAGGAGGGAAGGGGGAGGGAACAAGGAGAGAGGGAGAGACAGAGAGAGAACGGATTCCAGTGGGAGGTCGCTTCTCCTAGAGAGCGGTGGCACGGAAGGCGACGGACTCTTCAGGGTAGCGCTTGGACACAGGAGCTTCAAGAGTAGATAGGGACGTAGACGTTTCATACACCCAGCGCTCCAGGCAAGGGCGCCTAACTTCGCGCTCTCGCGCCGCCTCTCAGGGGAGAAGAAGAGGATGAGTAATCGGAGCCGAACCGCGAAGCGCGAACAAATTCGCGTCCTCGAGGGCGCCCTTGGCAGGGGGAAGGATGACGACCCTCCACGTCAAGGCAATCCGCCTCCACTGTTGCTCGCCGCGCCCCCTGTCCGACCTCTGCGTCGTACAGCAGCGTGCCGGCCCTCTCGATGGGCCAGGCCTTCTTCGCAACTCGCAGGACCCCAGGCGACTCGATTCTGCCTGAGCATGCCTCGTAGTGCGTGCGCAGCTCCTGCGAGGTTGCAAACCTTACTTAGTAGAGCTCCAAACAATGCGCCACCACCTGCCCTGGCCAGGCCCATCCTGGGCCCCGGACTGATGTACAGGCCCTCCTGGCCTAGGCCAGGAGGTCTATACACCAGTCCGGGGCCCAGGGTGGACCTGACCGGGACTGGTGGTGGTGTTTTGTTCGAATAGGGGATGGAGCACAAAATTGGTTTAACCCAAAATTGATTTTCTCTTCGAGGCAAACGTAGAATGTTCGCAGACCTACGATTAGGTCGGGCATGTCCTCCTACAGGCTGATTTGGGGAAAAAGGTACACATAGTCCAAATATAAACAAAAGCAGTCCCAAAGGCATGACAAGTCGTCACCATACTATTTCTTTACTGTTCTTGCATATCCCCCCTGTAGAGGGACATGCCCGACTGAAACCTACGAGCATTCTACGCACTCCTCATGGAGTCGACGAAGAAATCAAGTTGTAGGGGGGGGTAGATCAATTCTGTAGTCGATCCCCTGCTGGCCGCTGTCGCTGGCGAGGCCCATCCGGGGCCCAGGAGCGGTGCGCACGGCCTCCTGGCCAGGCCGGGAGGGCGTGTGCACCGCTGCGGGGGCTCGGGAGGAGCCTGCCTGGCCAGGGGCAGTGGATGTGTGCAGAGCTCGCCGCCCTGGGGAAGGGGGGGGGTGGGGCGCTTGCCCCGTCCTTCGCCGCTCGCCGCGGCGAGCGGCGAGGGACAGGGCAGATCAATTCTGTAGTCGATCCCCCACTCGAACTGTTGGCGTCCCTCCGCAGCCTGCCCCCGCCCGTCCGCCCTGGCAGAACCCATGGAGGAGCAGAGGAGAGTGGAAAGTCCGCCAACCCCCGTGAGAGCCCAGGGGGAGAGGAGGAGGAGGAGGAGGAGGAGGAGGAGGAGGAGGAGGAGGAGGAGGAGGAGGAGGAGGCGGATGATGAGGAGGAGGAGGAGGAGGAGTAGGAGGAAGCCACGAACCGCCAAGCGATTGAGGCGTGTCAGTGGCAGTGTGCCGTCCATCGGCCGCGACTTATTCTCATTCCCTCTTACAATATAATTTCCCACACCCCTACCCTTCACTAAATACCACCACGGCTACTTCGGCCAACCCAGCTTGGCATCGTCGGGGGCACGAGCGTCGAGCCGCTGTCCGTCTACTACTACCCGTGGCATCAGCAAGTTTACTACTCGACCAACATACGCAGCATCAACTTCACGCTGCACTGGAACTCCTACACAAACACCATATCGCCCAGCAGCCACCTCGGCATCCACCTCAAGCTCCAACCATGGCGACATCATGGAGAGCAACCGCGAGCGGATCGGGACTGGACGCCGGCCCTATCACCGTGGAGATCAGCATCGAGCCGCCCACGATCCAGAGCTACAACACCGAGGCCCGCAACATCAGCCATCGGTGCAGGATTCGAGCGCTGGAAGAAACACAAGAAGACCATCCCGACAAGTCCTGGAGTCAGAGCCTCAACGGGAAGGACAACTACCGGGACGGCAAGAGGAGGAACGACCACCAGGATCCCGCCAGCAACAACCAGAAGGGCAAGGGCAAGAACAACAACGGAAAGGGCAAGACCCAACCCGACAAGGAGAAGACGCCAAGAATAATAACAACGGCCAGGACTACAACAACAACTACAGCGAGTACATCACCAGCACGATCACCAACGTCACGCCCAGGAAGAAAATCTACACCGTCAGGAGGCACGACTGGGAGCTACCTCCCAACGACCACGAGCTGAGGGACGAATGGAAGATCAAACACGCTTAGGAGCGAAGAGCGGCAGCTGCCATCGTCAAAAACAGTGCAGCAAGCTTCCCTACTACCGACGCAGTCACAGCCTTCATCAAAGCGATGGTTCTTAACGGCAAGCCCCTGGCCCAGCAGGCGATGGAGATCGACAGTACCAAGAGGACCATGGAGGACTACTACGCGCACTCCAATATTCAGCTGCAATATGTAACGATCTACATGACCGACATCGAGAACAAACCTGAGGAGCTCATCTGCAACGCAAGAGATTTTTGATTGTCTTGCCGATGGGGGATTCTTCAACTGCATTGGTGAAAAGCCTGGTAACAGCAGCAGCTTCACTGAATGACAGACACACAGGCAAAAGTGCAGAAGGATGAGGAGAACCCGTGCAGCGACCTATTTTAATCTTTTTTAGAATAGGTCGGACGAGCTGTCTACAGATGAGGAGGAGAAGGAGGAGAAGACAAGTGAAATTAGATGCCGAAGGATACGAATTATCCCTAAAACGTATCATCCCCTGGCCTGCCGAGCTATTGTTGGACAGACCCGTATTGAATGGCCTCGACGGCCAAACAATACATTCACCATGGCAGGAGAAAGGCGGGAGGAGGAGCAGGGAAAGGAGGAAACAGGGGAGCACAATACATAGAATTCGAGTCTGAACTATCCGCCAAGCGCGGCCGCAGCACCCACCGACGGCGCACGAAGCGGGCCTCTCCCGTGCAACGACTACGGGGAGGAGAAACACCATATGCTTTAGCTTACAAGATTCAGCGAGAGCCGCCCACGCAGCCAACGAATGGAGAGGAGGAGCGTTTTTCGACGCCGTCGTCGTCGCCGACGTCGTGGTCGACGTTGCCGTCGTTGCTGTCGTCGCCGTTTTCGTCGTCGCCATCGTCGTCTTCTTCGCGGTCGCCGTCGTGCTCGTCGTCGTTGTCGCCGTCGTCGTCGTCGTCGTCGTTGCCGTCGTCGTCGTCGCCGTCTTCGTCGTGCTCGTCGTCGTCGTCGTCGCCGTTGTCGCCGTCGCCGTCGTCGTCGTCGTTGTCTTCGTCGCGGTCGTCGTCTTCGTCGTTGTCGTCACAGTCGTCGTCGTTGTCGCCGTTGTCGTCGTCGTCGTCGTTGCCATCATCGTCGTCGTGGTGGTCGTGGTCGCCGTCGTCGTCGCCGTCGTCCTTGTCGGCGCTCCCCGCCGCCGCCGCCAGCCGCCGTCAGCGCCGGCGCTGGCCCAGGGGGGGGGGTTCGAACCCTCCCCCCTTGAACCGACGTCCTCGACTCTCTCCGCCGCCGCCGCCAGGTGCCGCCAGCGCCGTTCCAACCCCCCCCCCACCTCCTCCAAGCACCCACAGAACGCGCTCTTTCCTATGCGTACATGAGTATAGAGAGAGGGGGGGGCGGGACGAGACGGGGCGGGACAGGACGATGGGACCATGGGGTGGGACGGGGCGGAAGGAGAGCGGAGCTCAGCGGTGGGAGGGAAGGGGGACGGGAAAGGGAATGGACACGGGACAATTCGACTCTACCTGCGGGGGGTGGGCCTCATGGGCCTCCTCTTCCTCCTCCTCCTCCTCCTCCCCCTCCTCCTCCTCCTCCTCCTCCTCCTCCTCATCCTTCTCCTCCTCCTCCCGGCTTCACTCTCTGTTTCCCACTGTTCCCCGTCCTTGCGCACAGCCCTGGAGCTCGATAGGGACTCCAGCTGCCTCAAGGAGCTGCAGACGGTGCCCGCTACGAGGCCGTCCCCCAGCTTCGGGCCGATGATGCGGACGAACTGGTCCCCGCAGAACAGCCAGTAGCCCATCCTCAACCGCCCCCCACCTTCCCACCACCATCCCCTCGCTCCCTCCCTCCCCCTCCCTGCTCCTCTCCCCTCCCCTTCCATCACCCCCTCTGTTTCCCATTCCCTTCCATTGCCCCTCCCCTCCTCTCTACAACCACGCATTGCATATCACACCTAAGAGGCACCAAGAGGCCCCCAAAAGGCCCCCAAGAGGCCCCTAAGAGGCTCCCGAGGCTCCCAAGAGGCCCCCTAAACGGCCCCCGAGAGGCATCAAAACTGCATCCAAGAGGCTCCCGAGAGGCCTCCCACGAGATTCCAACGAACATCCACCATGCTTGTAACCTACAGCCCAGGCACGGTGGCGCGACTTGCCGTAGGCAACTGGATATTACGCCCCGTTCTCTCCTGATCACTGTCGTTCTTCCTCCAACCCTCCAGTGTTGGTGGGTCGTCCTTCTCTCTCTGCTGCGCCGCGCATCTCCCGCCCGCCTTCTTCAGCCTCAACCCCCTCTCGCTCCTGCCTCTGCCGCTGCTGCGGTTGTGGGCGCTGTGCCGCCGCCTCAATGCGGCGCAGCCCTCGCGTGGACCGCGCCCCACAGAAAGGTCCAATCCAACTACGGCCCCTGGCCACGGCGCCTGAATGGCGCCACCACCTCAACTCGACACACCTCTCTCGCAGATCGGGCCCTACAGTCGAAACGCTGTCATAAGGAACCCTAAAGAAGGAACGAGACCCCTTTCGTCCATGAGTTAAGCTTCGATTTTCCATAGGAGACCGAAGAACAACCAGGGACAAACTGGAACACCATTAAGGAACACTGAGCCCCTCCCCCACGAAAAGGGTTCCTTCTTCAGCGGCCCGACTGTACGGTTCCAATTGGTGCGGCCGCGCGGCACCGCCGCCTCAGATCAGCGCACCCCTCACACGAATCGAACCCCACAGTGCGCTCCAACTGTGGTTCCAGTGGGAGCTCCTTCCTCTTCCCCCCCCTCCTCCTCCTCCTCCTCCTCCTCCTCCTCCTCATCATCATCATCATCACCACCACCACCACCACCACCACCACCACCACCATCATCATCATCATCATCATCAGCATCATCATCATCATCCTCATCATCATCAGCATCATCATCATCATCATCAGCATCATCATCATCATCATCATCATCATCATCATCATCATCATCATCATCATCATCATCATCATCATCATCATCATCATCATCATCATCATCATCATCATCATCATCGTCATCATCATCATCATCACCATCATCATCATCATCATCATCATCATCATCATCATCATCATCATCATCCTGCTCATCCTGCTCCTCTGCCCCGCTCCCACCCCCCCTTCTATGTCCGCTTTGACGCGGGACTTCCCATGCACACTTTCAGTGTGCGTCCTTTCGCGTGAGGAAGGGCTACCTCTTACTCTTCATGCGTATGAGAAGAGTCGGCTCCTTCGCCGAGATGATGCGTCACCCACCAGTCCCACGCAGTGGCATTTCTACATCATCGCATTTCCCAAGCTGAGCTCCTGCCACGCTGCTGACCCTCGGCAATTACTCATTACAAATATTACCCCCCCTCTCTCCCGTGATCGCTGTCGTTCGTTGCTTTTCCCAACCATCCTGTGGTGTTGGGTCCTCGTTTTGCAGACACAGCGCCCCGCGTTCACTCGCGCTGCCCCCTCCCCCCCTCCTCCCTCATCTCATCCCTGCCCCTGCCCTCCGCATGTCCACCATTTCGGCACACCCCTCACACGTCTCGTGGCCCCATAACGAGCTCCACCGAAGGCCCCAGTGGCAGCGCCCGCCTGCAGTTCCACCCCCATCTTGGCGCACCCCTCGCACGTCTCGTGGCCCCACAGGGGGCCCCACCGAAGGCCCCAGTGGCAGCGCCCGCATGCAGTTCCACCCCCATCTTGGCGCACCCCTCGCACGTTTCTGGGCCCCATAAGGAGCACACTCGCACGTTTCGAGGTCCCATCGGGGGCTCCGCCGAATGCCCCAGTGACAGCGCCTGCATAGAGTTCCACCCCCATCTTGGCGCACCTCTCACGCGTTTCGTGGCCGCCATTTTCACCGCCCCGCGCGCCATCCTTGTCGGGGCGCGCTACCTGTGAGGAAAAGGTCGCACTCTGCATCACTCGCAGCTGCATATGGTTGGGTCCGTCGCCAGGCTAATTTCACCAGCCGCTCCCGCGTGCTGGGCTTACCCAAGAAATATCGCAATCCGATGTCTGGCATGTGACTTTCTCCGCGCTGGGAACGCAGTCCGTCGTTTGGAGTGGCGTTCTTGCCCAAGCGCATGCCGCACGCATGACCCTCTGCACCTACTCTGTGGGTGTTACCCTCCTCTCCTCGTTGCGGGCTGCCGTCCCTCGACTCGCGCTGGAGAGGCCACGACTTGCTCAACATTTCAATGGACATCCTTGGAGTGGCCTGGATTTACCTCGACTCATCTGCATTTGTCTTGATGCATCCGGCTTGCTACCCACAAGTCGATTGGCGACAAATCGCCAATCCCTTAGGGATCTCCCTCTCTTGGCAGTCTTTGCATTTTCACCGGGCACTCGCCCTCCCCACCCTCGAGAGGTGAAAAGCTGCCATCGCTCGGACGGCTAGACCCCGTGCATGTTTCGGTTTCCTGCGTGTGCGCTTCGCAGGCTGACCCGAGGTGCTCCTCGGTGGCCCGCGCCGAGAAAAAGGCACACGTTCAAGCGATGTCAGGGAAAGCTGGGAGCAGAAAAAGCCCCGGCTGCCCGCCCGCCCTGGCCCTAGAGGTCCCGAGACCGCCTTCCCAGGGGCAGGGCGACGATGACGACGAGGACAGGGACGAGAAGAGGAAGAGAGTGGAGAAGAGGAAGGGTGGGGAGAGGACCAGAAGCGTGGAGAAGGGGAGGGGAAAGAAAAGAGGATGGATGGGGAACCTTGCCTCGAGAGATGAACAGCTGGGAGCAGAAGAAAGCCCTGGCTGCCGCCCGCCCTGGCCCTATAGGTCCCGAGACCCCCCCCCCCCGGGGGCGGGGAGACCCTGTTCGCCGCCGCCCTGCTCGCCACGGCCCTGTTCGCCGCCGCCAACTTCGCCCGAGGCCCTGTTCGCCGCCTCCGTGTTCGCCGCCGTCGTCGTCCTGGTTCACAGCGTCGTCGCCGGCGTTGCCTCCGTCTCGTCGTCGTCTCGTCGTCGCCGTCGTGGTCGCCATCCCGCCCGCCCGACCCGACATGCACATTAGGGTCCGCCCGCCCAACCCCACCCGCCCGTTGGGGTTCAGGCGTGCTCGCTCGTGTGTGGCCCACAATTCAATGTCCCGCCCGCCCGGCCCGACCGGCCCGTGAGGGTCCGCCCGCCCGACCCGACCCGCGCATTAAGGCCCGCCCGCCCGACCCGACCCGCCCGTTGGGTTCGCCCATGTATGCCCCACATTATAATGTCCCGCCCGCCCGACCCGACCCGCCATCTAGGGTCCGCCCGCTCGACCCGACCCGCCCGTTGGGGTTCACGCGTGCTCGCTCGTGTATGGCACACACTTGAATGTTCCGCCCGCCCGACCCGACACGCCCGTCAGGGTCCGCCAGCCCGACCCGACCAGCCCGTTGGGGCCCGCCCGCCCAGCCAGACCCGCCCGTTTGGGTTCACGCGGGTTCGCTCGTGCACGCCCCGCACATTAATGTTCCGCCCGCCCGGCCCGACCCGCCCGCTATGGTCCGCCAGACCCGCCCGACCCGCCCGTTAGGGTCCGCCCGCCCGACCCCACACGCCCGTTGGGGTTCACGCGTGCTCGCCCGTGTATACTTTAACCTTTACTGTCCCACCCGCCCGGCCCGACCCGCCCGTTATGGTCCGCCCGCTGGGCCCGACACGCCAGTTGGGGTTCACGCGCGCTCGCTTCTGAAAACATCACATTTGAATGTTCCGCCCGCCCGACCCGACCAGCTCGTTAGGGTCCGCCCGCCCGACCCGACCCACCCGTTCGGGTTCACGCGTGCTCGATCGTATTTGCCCCAAACTGCAATTTCTCGCCCACCCGGCCCACCCCCCCCGTTTAGGTCTGCCCGCCCGACCCGCCCGTTGGGGATCACGCGTGACCCGATACGCCCGTTGGGGTTCACGCGGGTTCGCTCGTGCATGCCCCACACTTTAATGTCCCGCCCGCCCGACCCGACACGCACATGAGGGTCCGCCCGCCCAACCCCACGCGCCCGTTGGGGTTCAGGCGTGCTCGCTCGTGTATGCCCCACAATTCAATGTCCCGCCCGCCCGGCCCGACCGGCCCGTGAGGGTCCGCCCGCCCGACCCGACCCGCCCATTAAGGCCCGCCCGCCCGACCCGACCCGCCCGTTGGGTTCGCTCGTGTATGCCCGACATAATACAGACAGCCTTGATTGGACAGGACACGCGAAAGGACACAAGACCCTTCCGAGGGCCACATAGCCATAGGAGTGTAAGAAGGCACGTGTCGCGAGGCACAGGACACAAGGGTACCCTTGAGCTGGCAGTGTCGACCTACTAATCCGGGCCGACTGTAATGTCCCGCCCGTCCGACCCGACCCGCCCGTTAGGGTCCGCCCGCCCGACCCGAACCGCCCGTTGGGGTTCACGCTTGCTCGCTCGTGTATGGCCCACACTTGAATGTTCCGCCCGCCCGACGCGACCCGCCCGTCAGGGTCCGCCCGCCAAACCCGACCCGCCCGTTGGGGTTCAGGTTCACGCGTGCTCGCTCGTGCATGCCCCACACTTCAATGTCCCGCCCGCCCGGCCCGACCCGCCCGTTAGGGCCCGCCCGCCCGACGCGAACCGCCCGATAGGGTCCGCCCGCCCGACCCGACTCAGCCCGTTGGGGTTCACGCGTGCTCGCTCGTGTACGACCCACAACTCAATGTCCCGCCCGCCTTACCCTACCCGCCCGATGGGGTTCACGCGTGCTCGCTCGTGTATGGCCCTCACTTGGATGTTCCGCCGACCGGCCCGACCCGCCCGCCCGACCCGACACGCCCAGCGGTTCACGCGGGTTCGCTCGCGTATGCCCCACACTTCACTGTCCCGCCCGCCCGACCCGACCGGCCGCGTGAGGGCCCGCCCGCCCGACCCGACCCGCCCGTTGGGATTCACGCGCTTCGCTCGTGTGTGGCCCACACTTTTATGTCCCGCCCGCGCGGCGCCTGCGACGACGGCGACGTCGGGCGCGGTGGGCGAAGAGGGCCCCGGCAAACAGGGTCCCTGCGAACACGGTCTCTGGCGAACAAAGTCCTGGCGAACAGGGTCCCCAGCGAACCGGATTCCGGCGAACAGGGTCCCCAGCGAACCAGGATTAAGCGAACAGGGTCGACACCCCATGGGGAGGGCGACGATGACGACAAGGACGAGGACGAGGAGAGGAAGAGAGTGGAGAAGAGGAAAGGTGGGAGAGAATTAGAACTCGCCGAACGTCCATTCCCCGTGCATGTTTCGGTTTCGTGTATGTATTTCTCGCAATATGGCCCAAAAGGCTCCCCGATCGTCCGCGCCGAGAAAAATGCACACGTCCGAGCGATGCCAAGAAGAGGGAAGACCATTCCACTCTTGAAGTATGAGGGCGCCTAAAGTAGATTGGGATCTGGGAATCCAGAAATATCTACTTTCGACGACCAGCGTGTAAAGTGTGGAGAAGGGAAGGGGAAGAAAAGAGGCTGGATGGGGACGAGGGGCGGGGAGGGGGAGTTGCAGAGGAGGAGCAGTGGCAGCACAATTAACAGCAGCAGCACTAGCAAAATGGGTGTCTGTCATGGACGTCCTCTGCTGTGTGGTTTTTGAGGGCGACTCGGAGAGAAGCTCGAGGGCGGTGATGGGCCCGCTCTTCAGCTTGGTCCAGACCTCGATGTATTCCTTTCAGCATGATTTCTCTTCCTCCGCCTTCTCATCCTCCTCTTCATCATCATCAACACCGCAATCATCATAACCACCTTCACTATCAAAACCACCATCACCAACACCACCGTCACTGCCACCGTCACCGTCACCATCATCACACCAGTTTCCGCATCATTAATCCTGCCTCCCCATCCTCCTAGATTCCTCCTTCCCTCCCCAATCGCGCCCTTCCTCTACCTCGCTCCACCCCCCAGTCCTTTCCTTCACCTCCCAGTCCTGCTCTTTCCCCCTTCCCGGTCAACTTCCTCCTCCCCATCCATCCCACCCCCTGTCCCCCATCGCCTCCTCCCACCATCTCTCCCTTAACCTCTCCTCCTGCACCCTTCCCACACTCCCCTCAGTTCTCCGTCTCTCACGCCCAAACCCACATGCCATGCATCCCACATTCCGCTCCCCCTTCTCCTTTCTTTTACCCTCCGATTCCATCCGCACTCTTCCTCGCAGTCGTCATCATCAACATCCTCGTCTTCACCACCACCCCCACCATCATCATCAACAGAAAAACCATGAACATATCATCATTACAATCACCATCACCGTCACCATCACTACCACCTCCACCAAAATCGTCATCATCATCATGACCATCATGATCAGCATCATCATCGTCAACACCATCATCACCATCTTCCCTTCACCATCAACCGCATCATCATAATACTAGTCAACATCATCACCCCCACCACCATCACCAGCTTTGTCGTCGTCGCCACCACCATCAGCATCAGCATCAGCATCAACATCATCATCAAAAGCATCATCATCATCGTCATCTTCGTCATCATCATCATCACCACCACCATCATCATCATCGTCGTCATCATCGTCCTCCTGCTTCAAAATCATCAGCATCAGCATCATAGTCTTCATCATCATCACCATCATCATCCTCATCGCCATCCTCATCAATATTATCATCAGCAACATCGCCATTGTCATCATCATCATCATCATCATCATCATCATCATCGTCATCATCATCATCATCATCAGCGTCAGCGTCAGCATAATCATTATCACCATCATCACTATAAACAGCAGCATTATCCTCCCAACCACCACCACCATCATCATCATCATCATCATCATCATCATTACCATCATCGTCATCATCATAACCATCACAATAATCATCATCACCATCACCATCACAACCATCACCATAATCATCATCACAATCGCCATCACTATCACCATCACCATCATCATCCTTATCATCATCGTCATCCTCCTCCTCATCATCATCATTAACAGCATCAGCATCAGCGTCATCATCGTCATCATCAACATCAGTTTAACCATCATCATCATCATCATCATCATCATCATCATCATCATCGTCCTCCTCCTCCTCCTCATTATCAGCAGCATCATCATCATCCTCACCCTCAGCCTCACCATCACCATCTCCATCATCATCCTCTTCATAATCCTCAACATCATCCTCATCATCAACAGCATCAGCATCATCCTCCTCCTCTTCCTCTTCCTCTTCCTCTTCCTCTTCCTCCTCATCATCATCATCATCATCATCATCATCATCATCATCATCATCCCCAGCATCAGCATCAGCATCATCATCATCCTCCTCATCCTGATCATCATCACCATCATCATCATCATCATCATCATCACCCTCATCATCCTCATCCTCCTCATCATCCTAATCCTCATCCTAATCATCCTCATCCTAATCATCCTCATCCTAATCATCCTCATCCTCATCCTCATCCTCCTCCTCCTCCTCCTCCTCCTCCTCCTCATCATCATCATCATCATCATCATCATCATCATCATCGTACATCCGCCTCGCCAGGGGGCCCGAGCACTGCTGGCGTTTAGCACGAGTGCACTTTGTTTGGCACACGTTCAGGCAATGCAACGGTCGTTCGCTTCTTCCGCCTCCCTCGCCCTCCTCCCCTCCGGCCCCCTCCCCGGACATCCGCCGATCTGATTTTTTTCCATCCGCGGCCGCAGACGTCCCGACCCCTTCCCAGGGGGCAGCTTTTCGTCCCAGATACGTTTGTGATGGCCCCCGGGCCCGACAACGGGCCCCCGAGGCCGAAGTCCAGGAGAGAACGCCGGATTGAGAAAGTCATATCCGCGGATCTCCGGGTCCCCCTCCCCATCCTCCATCCTCCCCCGAGCACTGCCGGCGCTTCATTCGGCACACAACCAGGTAATGCAGAGATCGCTCGCTTCCTCCGTCTCCCTCCTCCTCCGCCCCTTCCTTATCCTCCCTCCTCCCCCTCCCCATCCTCCATCCTCCCCCGAGCGAGAAAGGGGCAGGGGGGGGGAAAGCTCCTCCCGGACCTTCCCGCGCGGGTGGCTCAGCTCGCCCATCACGTCGCGGTCAAAAGTGACCTGCGCGCCCCGACCACCCCTCTGGCGCCACGTGGGGGCACTCATTTCCGTCGGCGGCGAGGCAGAATTGGCTGCACCAGCGAAGGAGCTAGTCGGGGGCACCGAGAAGCGAATTGGCAACTGCGAAGGGGACCGGGCGACAAGACCAAGCCCAGGCGCCGAACCGCGGGGGAAGGCTGCCAGCGGCGACAGCTCCGCAAGCGCCATGGCGGCGCTGGGGCCGAGGCCGAGAGGCCCGCACTGCCGGGGAAGACAGTGTGGACCGAGTCAAGGGGCACCTAGTCGGTGCAGGGACAGTTGTGCTGACGCGGCCGGGGTGCAGGGGGAGGGGAAACAGAGGCAGGAAGGCCAGAGCGTGGAACAGTGCCACACGCCGCCGGGGTGGTCGGCGCGTGGCGACTATAGGTCCGCCAAGAGGCGCAGAGGTCGATGAGAAGCCGACGGGGAGGTGATGCTGGGACACCGGGCGCCTCTCGTGGCCAAGCGCACTAGGGCTGGGCATGAGCGGCGCAAGGGGAGACCCGTGTCTGCGGCACGGCAGAGGGCACGGCGGGGTCATGGCGCCGCCGTTTATGGGAACGGCTCGCACTGGTGCGGACCAGGCGCTGGGTCTCAGAGGAATGGCAGGCTTGTCGTGTTGGGAAGGCGCTGCCTGGATTGGTCGTTGCTGGGCCAGGTGGGGTCCGCACGCCGCTAGCCTTTTCCGACCCTGTCTTGACCTTTCCCTCTGCCCTTGGTCTTGTCCCGCTGCAGCTCATTGCGCCGCAACTGCCTTTCCCAGGCAGCGTTCCAGTCCACGTGGACACCTCGGGCTCTGCATCTTCTGCGGATGCCGAACTCTTCATTGTGCATCTGGAGCAGCAAGTCCCTGCAGAAGGCGTCGTGCCAGTGTGGGTCGTAGGTACCCCTTCCAGGTAGGTTGTCCCTCTCGTCGCAGAGAGCGTTCCAGCCTTCAAAGAATATGGCGCCATAATCCTTCTTCAGCCTGTTGACGACCTCCGGCCATGTCTCCTGGAGGTTGGTCCAGTAGTTCCACGTGCACTGTCAATTAATCACCCGACGAGGCTTGATGTACATCGCGTCTTGGGGGTCGTGGTGGCGAGTACATCCAGGGTAGAGCTGCGGGGTTCTATGTTGCTGGGACGCTTCTGGGTCGGCACGGTCTGTGCGCGCAGCAAATGAGCCTCCTCCCCCTGCATAGCCGGCCCCGGGGTTGGCGTGTGCCGTCTCGGCCTGCTGAGGGCGACCGTGCCCTTGCTCTGACGTCCTGGGTGTCTTACGTGCTCGGCCTTCGTGGGGATCGTCTCCTGTGCCCCTTTCTGCAACTGGTTCGGTGCGGTGGGCGCTGCGGCTGGACGCGCTAGCCTCCACCTCTCCAGCGGTCTCGGCATCCGCAGCCGGGCCTTGCTGTGGGAGCTGGGAGGCAGTCTGATGGGCGTGCTCGGCGTCGGGGCTGCTGGTCGCTGCCTGGGAGTGATGGTCAGGGTGAGGCTCGCTGCTGGGGCTTGCTTGTGGCTCCTGACCTTGGGCCTCAGCGTCGGGCGAGACATCGACAACAGAGAGTGCGCGCGGGGGCGGCGGCGTGGGTGAGCAGTCCACTTCGATAGGGCCGGGGGCGTGAGTTGCAGGGCTGCCGCTGTGGACCCCCAGGCCTGCGGCTGCTGGGCCTCCTGCTGAGCCGCTGGCCTCCCCGGGGGGGGCGGTCACGTCGGGGGTCTCGGGCTGGGGCAGAGCTGCGCCCTTCGGCCTGCACGCCCCGGCCCCCCCTCTGGCATCACGTGGGAGCACACGGGCGAGCGGCCCTGGCCAAGCCGAGGGGGAGGGGGGAGGCAGGGGCAGGGGCAGGGAAAGGAGGGAAAGGGGGGCAGGGAGGGAAAGGAGAACAGGAAGGGTGGCAGGGGCAGGGGCGGATGCAGCGGGAGGGGGGGAGGAAACAGTGGAAGATATACGCTCTCATGGGGCAGGGGAAGGAAGAGTGTTTGCCCGATTGCTTTCTGGGCGGCACCCCGCGCACCGCCCCCTTGCCCTCGCCCGCCCCTGGAAGAGGCAGATAGCCGGAGGGGGACAGTGATTCAGTGCCCCAAAACATAGCGCTCGGAAATATGTTGGAAGCTCGGTACACCAGCAAGAGAGAAGGTTCGGGAAAGCTCGCCGCCATTTTGCAGGGGTGGGCGGTTTGTGGAGGCCAGTGTCGCGGTGGTGTGGAGCCTTCCCCCCCTCCCACTCCTCCCATTGCTCCCCTTCCCCTCCTCCCCCCTTCCCCAAAATAACCTGGGCCCTGCTTGCAGAGTGACATCCTCGAACGGTACAGGCAAGTCTCAGCGCCTCAAGGTCCACTGCGCAAGATTCAATACATACACGCACACGCACTTTTTGGTTGGCGGTCGCGGCCTCGCGCGCAGCGCCGAGGAGTACAAAATCGAGTACCACCGCGCGGAGACGCCGCGCGCGCTGGGCCCGGACCGTGAGGGAAGACGGTACGTACCACCGTCGAGGAGATGAAACGGGCGGCGATAGCGCCGTGGCGCAGTGTGCCTGTGGGGCCGCTCCCGAGACGACACACACACACAAACACACACATACAAGGACACACACACAAGGACACACACACACACACACACGCACGCACGCACGCACGCACACACACACACAAACGCACTCCTCACCCCTCCACTTTTTTTCATTTCCCTCCTCCATTCCCTCGTCCTCATCGCCCCGTCCCTCACCCTGTTCCTACTCCCCCTTTCAATTAGACAGGCGACGGACACAAACCGATGCAGCTGCGAGTAACGCAAATCTGACCCTCTCCCCATACGCAACGCGCCGCGATTGGGATGGAACCCGTGGCGGAGCGGAGCTCCCTACGGGGCACGAATCGTATGAGGGTTGTGCCGAAATTGGCGCGGTGTCGCCATGCGGGCCCTGCCGCGGGAGCCTTGGGTGAACCGTGCGACCTGTGCAACTGGGACCGCATGCGGAGCTCCCCATGGGGCCACGAAACGTGTGAAGGGTGCGCACAGTTGAATGTGGGCGGCGCTGGCCATGCGGTCGCGCCCACTGACCGTAGGTGGGACTCCCAATGGGGTCACGAATCGTGTAAGGGATATGCCGGACTGGGGGTGGGTGCGCCGTGCGGTCGCGCCCACCGAGACCGCATGCGGACTTTTTTTTGGTGCTAGGAAACGTTTGAGCGGTGTGCAGCGAGGTGTGCGGGTACGCCATGCAGTCGCCCCCACCGAGACCGTAGGTGGAGTTCCCTATGGGGGCGGGGGCGCCATGCGGCCACGCCCAGTGAGACCGCAGGTGGAGATCCTTATGGGGCCACGAAACGTGTGAGTGATGCGGGGCGGGGACGCCGTGCGATCGCGCCCGTTGGGACCGCAGCTGGAGTTCCTCATCTGGCCACGGAACGTATGAGGAGTGCGCCGAATTGTGGGGGCGGGTGCGCCACGCGGTCGCGCCCGCTGAAACTGTTGGTGGACATCCCCATGGGGCTATTGTCGGACCTAGGCCAGAGAAACATTCCTCAAGAACATGAGACCTCCGTCGGCCAACACAAACAGGATATTCAAGGGTACCCTCCCCAGGATGCAAAAGAGCATCCGACAAACACGAATAACATAAAGGTACCCTCCCCGAACCGACCTCGATCTGATACCTCGGTCAGACTGTACGACACGCGTGAGCGGTGTGCATACATCGGAGCGGCGCTGGCCATGCGGTCACGCCCACTGGGACCGTAGGCGGAGCTCCCCATGTGGCGTGAAGGGTGCGTAGAATTGACGGCGGGGGCGCCCTGCGGTCACGCCCAGACCTTGAGTACATAGGGATCCCTATGGGCTACGAAACCTATGAGGGGTGTGCCCACTTGGGATCGGCGGTGGCCATGCGGCCGAGCCCACTGAGACCGTATGACGAAACGTGTGAGGGGTGTGCCGAAGTTGGGGCGGGTACGCCATGCGGTCGCGCCCATTGCAACAGAAGGTAGGGCTGCCCATGGGGCCACGCAGCGTGTGAGGGGTGTGCCAAAGTGGGCACGCGGAGACCAGAGGCAGGAGGAGAAGGAAAGGAGGAGTGACGGGGGGCGCTGCGGATTCAAAACGAGGGTGCAACAACTGACAGGAATGGTGGACAACTCATCCACTCTCCACTCCCTCCCTCTACATTATCTCGTTCTCTCTCTCTCTCTTTCTCTATTATGGGTTCCTTTCTCTCTCTCTCTCTCTCTTTTTCTATGTGTTTGCTTTCTCTCCCTCTCTCTGGCACAGGCCGCAGTCGTGCCTCCCGCGGCCCCCCCGGGGTCGCCGCCCCTTCACGAAGTCTGCTCCAGGCCTGGCCGAGCTCCAAGGAAATCAACCGCCGCCGGCGGGCCGATCCAAGCCATTCGGCTGGCGACGGCCAACACCACATCAACCTTGTCAGCCTCAACGTTGCAAGCCTCGAGACAAACTGGAACACGTACCTCCAGCCCCAGCAGCAAGATGACACCACCATCCTCGCAATGCAAGAAACCAGGCACCCCGCCAAACACCTCGCGGTGTATATGACGTGCGCAAGCTCGGCCGCCAACGGCAGCTGGACGGCCCGCTGGGGCCTTTCGCCTCCGCCACAGCCTCCGCAAAGGCCGCAGCGGGGGTACTGACCATACCACGGCCTCAGCTGAGTCCAAACACGGCCATGGTTGACACCGCTATCGAAGACCCCACCGTGGCGGCCTCCGCAGACCACGCGGTGGCACGAATGTTTCAGGCTGTGTGCCACGAAACCCCGTAAGCGACGCGGCTACGCCCCCCAAAGGTATCTACGTGGCCTCTCTTTATGGCTACGCCAACGAACACAGCGGCCGCGTCAGCCAGGGTCGGCTCAGGGCCGGCTCAGCCCCGTGGTTTCCTCCTCTGCATCGACGCAAGCATAGACCTTAATCCTCGGACGCTGCAGGAGGGCTGGCGCAATGTTGGCCAAGGGTTCCCCGACGCCAACGCGCCCACCCTAAATGCCAG